GGGGGGGTGGGCGGGAGAGAGAGGGAACCCTTAAGTTACCTTCTCAAGTGGCCAGCTAAAAAGGGCAGAGGGTCAAAAAAGGGCCAAAGTGGTCACTTAAGGGTGAAGTCCCAAACACCAAAGCAGTGCCAAGCCACATTGACCATCATTTGGTGACTGAGTTAAAAATATGCTAATTTATTGGTGGCAATTCTCTCTTTTTATGGTTTCAAGCAGTTAAGACAAGTGGCCTGCTTAAGAGCTTTTCATTTGAAAAGAGATTAAACAAAATGGTTTGTCAGGGACGCTTGACTGTTTTATGTCTTTGTTAAAAAAAATTGCACAGACTGTACCGATCACTATCACATCGCCCAAAAAGCCATCTCCCATCTCCAAGCATTACTTGGTTAATAAATACATCAGCTCTAATTGCTTAATAGTTCTATGTTCATTTGCTCTTTAGCAAGATTAAAATGAAATACATCTTTTGTATTACCACCTTCTATCAAGACTGTCTGCATAAAGGTCACAGAAAAAAGTTTAAATTTAGTAGGAAATTTACTTAAGGACATTAGTGTAAATGATACTGTGTTTAAAATGACATAAAAGAGCGAAAGGTGATTTCAGTAATGCAAAGAAAATGGTTTCTGAATACTGATAAGGACACTTATCCCTCATACCACACACAATTTTAGGCAGCATTATACATTAAAATCCCTCTACTGGGGTAATAATATGTAGCTACTTTCCCACCCACTAACACAAGTAAGAGCAAGTCATTAACATTTAATTAAATATGCTCCTGACATCCTTAGAAACATGTCACGCTTTGTTATTGAAGGTTGTGGCCTACTTTCTATGTACATTTTAAAACAAAATAAACTATTTATAAAAGACCGATTTAGTGCAGCAAATGAGACATTTTTAATTAGAAGGCATACTAAAATATTTTATAAAACCATTCTGAAGAGCAGAAACATAATGAAATGAGTTTACAACATCCAATGCATATTTTATGTATTTCACAAAACCAAACATAAGAGATGGGATTAGCTCCACCTTTCGGGTTCTAAATAGTGAAACAAAACTGTTTCTCTTACCTCAATGGTGAACAGCTTCCTTTTTAACCTAAAAGCAAGGTCCTTCGTGTCTGGCACATCACAGCTCAAGCTATTAAGCCGAGGAATCTGATGTACGTGAATCAAACCTTGTGGAAAGAAAAAGTAAAGGACAGAAAAAAATTAAGAAAACGCTGTCATCCAGACGCATAAATTAGAGAGTCTTACAGCAGAATTCTGTATATTTACACACGCTCATCCTCCCCTTTTTAAACTGGAGCTTCCTACCAGGAGCAATGAAGCAAACGGTGCGATTATACTCAAGTAATCAAGCAGAATAAGATAAACAGAAATCCTTCTGCGAGGAAAACTAATTGCACTTTGCTACAGAAGTACAGATGTAAAGAGGGATCTTAATACTTGTCAAAACTACAGCCGGTTTGTGTGTGATTTTCTCTTGTATTTACAGTAAGCAAATATGGCTATCACCTTGCATGCTGCCCACGGCACCACTGAGTGATCTTTATTTTATTAAATGCACCAGTAAGCAGCCAGCAAAACAAGGCTTATGGGTTACTGATAACCACTGACGCTCTAATGAGAAGTACTTCGTTTTGTGCCTTGAAAATGACTTTAAAAAAAGTCAGCAGAAAACACCAATTTATGTCACACTTTTTGATAAATTTTTAGCCCCTATACCATCCTAAGAGAAATAAATTGTCTGCATGCAAGGGCTTTATATAGCTGTTCAGATTTTTATAACAGCACTAGATACACTGCAAGCTCTGCATTCTGTCAGCTGAAACTCAAGCTGATTTCTTCTGACAAGGACGCTGGATGGTTTTTGTGCAGCCTAATATAGTTTCTGAACAACCTAAGGGTGAATTTCTACAGCTGAAAACCAGGAAAATTCTGCGGGGCTTCTCAATTACTGGCCTATATTTGCTATTCATAAAGGCAGTGTCTAAATGGAAATACTGAACATTTAGAAAAAGCATCATACTTGAAAATGGCAGCTGTGAAAAAACACCCAAATAATAAAAGCCTTACTGAAAATAAGGCAAAGTATTTTTCAGGGCTTTATTTCTTTTTTAAAGAGAGAATAAGAGAAGAAAATTTCCTAAAACCAGAATATTTTTAAAAGTGCATTTTTTACAAATACTAATCATAAAAATCAAAATTATTAGAAATATATTTTTACATGCTTCTACTCCTGCCTCCAATCTGGTGACATAAAAGAATTATTTATTTGTTTTTTGAGTTCAAAATGTAACCAGGATAAGCAGGAACAGCAGTTCTAACACAGGGATGCTAAAGTATTATTCTGTAAATTTTATTTAAAGCTTGTCCATGCTGTTCTCGCTTTTGTTATTTTATCGACGTTTCCACCATCTAAATTTGGAGACAGCCTAATAAAATTACTAATGAACGATTCATTGCAGAATGTAATAATTTAATCAAACTTTTCCATCATCTGCAGTAAATAATCTTAAAAATACATTTGTAATAGAAAAGAAATCACACAGTTAAAACCATTAAAAATGCTTACCTATTTCTAGAATGTTAAATTGTGCCTAAAATACCTCAAAAGCTATTTATGGCCATATAATTTTTATTAAGTAGTATCAAAATGATTTAGTATACAGTTTTACAGGAAAATAGGAAGTATCTGCTAAAATACATATATTGTCCTAAAGGATCCCTTCAGTACTATGAAAAGGCGTATCAAAATGACAGAATTATGTTAGCATAAACAAACACATCTCACTTACACAACTGGAAAAATAATTAGGCAAATTATTCTAGCTTTTGTTCACAGTTTCTTTTTATCTGCCTTTTTCAGATAATCAAATATACTTTTATCTTCTTAGCCAAAAAGATTTTTCTGTGATTTATTAAATTACAGCCTGCATGCACACAGTGGTGTCTCAGCACCATCTTTGCTTCTTTTTCTACATACTCTGCTAGGAAAAACATTGCCACACTCTCACATGTTTACAGCAGGTTTCAGATAAGCAGTTTACTTTCAGCTAGAGGTTTCCATGGAACTACAGTAGTATCACAATAATAATAGCTGTAATTTATGCACACTCAGAGCACCGTTCTGGATTAGCTAAAACTGTTTGTTATTCACTACTTGGGCTATGCACAACTTCTAATCTAATCTTTTAAAATTTAAATAGTTTTGCTGCAACAGCTTACAACATCTTTGGGAAATGAGCCACAAGATTAAACACCCTTACACGTTTTGAAGATAAATTACTTGAAAGGAGGGAAAAAATTATATGCCTTTATACCAAAATTAGTTTCATATTTTAAATGCCACACATATCCACATTCATTACTTTTACTTCAAATGCATAACTGCCTAACATAAAGCAGCAGAACAGTACATTATTTTTAGACAGAGTTTACATATCCCATCATTTAGCAGTTTATTCACCTTAATACAATATATGTTTTTCCATGTTCTCTATTTAAAACTTGGCAGATCAAAAGTATTGATTTCATGACAAGTTCAGCTCACTGGTCAGACGATTGCCAAGCCTCCTCTGCATGTGAATTCCCCAAAGCCTGCCTGTTGAGATGTACATCTGATTGAGCCATGCCTCAGTAATACGGCTTGACAACATGCAAGGAGTTGCCATGTTTCCTTTGCAGCCTTAATGCACTTTACTGAAAATTTTCCTAACTCAAGACTGGTTAGCAAGGAGAAACATTTAAGAGGTATATTCTAAAATAAAATCAATTGCCACTTTATAGCAGATACTCCAATTGGAGGGTAAGCCACTAAGTGCCCTAGAAACACTCGGTGCAGACTTTTTTCATTGCTAAAGATGGAACTTACCATGGTAATCCTTGTATAATGGATTGGTTTCTCTCTCAGAGCCAATAAATGATTCAAGACCAACTACCACATCTGACAAGTTTGTTACACGTTCCATAATTGCTTTATTCTGTAAGACATGGAAACAAAATACACATCCTATGTGATGAAAAAGATAATTACTGTTCATAGAGTAAGCCTTGGTCTTCTCAATGGCAAACTGAACTAAAAAATAGGTCATCGATACCTAGAAATTACCTCAGAGGACTTTTAAAAAACAAACACACAAAAATACCTTGAAATATAGTTGTAAAGGAAAACAAACACTTGACATGAAGAAACCATAAAAGAGTCAACTCAGAGCGAAATTCCTCTTTTTCTTAAATCTTTATAACATACCCATTTGCTCACACTGGAGATAATGAAAAGCGCATGCAGTGGTTACGCGCTTCTCCTTGACTCCTCTCATGAGTCAGATGCCCAGCTTTTTTTGTGTGTGTTCTGAAAACCATGCTCTTTAATATACCTAGGTTCATCACCTCTAATATTTTGAGCAAGCACAACCCATATAATTACTCATTTTGCTCATCACTGGAAGAGAAAGGATTAAAAAGTAAAAGCAAAGTATTTTCTCCAGTATTTTTCTTTCTAAAAGTTCCTCATTACACATCACATGCATGTGAAGATGTAGGTTGAATTCCCATTTCTCAATATATTTGTGATTTATAAGTGGTCTCATCTCCTTTTCAACAAGGCATTGTCATGTGGCTTACATCAGCTGTTTTCTGCATTTTTTTTTTACTTAATTTTATATAGCAGAAAGCAATATTAAAAGATCACAACAGAGATCTTCATAGGTAACTGAGTATAAAATGTTCTTAATAAATATTTTGATGATGTCACTAGGTAATGAGCAAAAACAATGAGACAAAATGCACTAAAAAGCAAAAAACTTTTTAAAGATAGGAAGCACTTATCTTAAAGCTGCCTGTACAGCTTGTACACTCTTGTTCTCGATGGCTGTAGACTCTATACCTATAAAATTTCCAGGGGTACCAGGACCAATCATCTCAAAATACCCATTCTAAGAAAGAAGAATTAGCTCTGGAGCTCTAAGTTATAACTTTGTATTTTTAAAAATTGTAAAGTCTTTCATATATTCTGCACTTTTAAAAACTGTGATCGACACTTTGTATGAAAGGTCTACTTAAACGTTCATAAAGAATAGCAGTAAACTACTTTGTAAATAACAATTAATGTAATAACTAGCGCCAGAGAGAAAGGGAACAGCCCTAGAAACCTTAGTAAGATCTATGCATTACACTGGCACATGAGTTTATTAAAATAGTGAACAATACACCAGCTGCTTTCACATTTCAACATTTGAACAACTTAGCCTATTTCCTAGCCACAGAGAAGTCTACAAAGCCAGATGTGAAAGGTGGACATTTCCTACTCCTGTCAGAGAAGAATCTGAACTCTGTTTTTAGACCATTACATAAGAGTAACCTGTGGCCAGTCCTGCACACATCAATGTGCTCAGGTTAGAAGGTCTAAACCCACTCTCTGGTACCCTTATGACCCCTCCCTTCCCCACCTTAAGGACCAGATGGCATTAAATCCTGTAAACTGGTCTCTTTTCAAAGCCCCTATTTGTGCCGAGGCCAAAATGGTGTATCTCCATGGAATAAGAGAACTTAAATTTCACCTACAAAGCCAACTTCATGGTTTATGATAAAATAAATGCTACAGAATTTCCCTTCTGAGGAATCAAATAAGCGACCTGTTGTAAAAGAATCCTGCCTACATATCAGACACCAATCTTTGTTATTGTGTGCCCTAATTACATCCACCACTGAAATATTAAAGTAGACTTGCAAATTATTTCCTCTTCGAGGCAGAGAGAGACAGTATACTATATTTTAATGGAGTGTCTCAGTCACGCTATTCTACAGGAGCAATCACATAGATTGGAAATTACTTTATTTTGCCAGTTCTTCAGAGGGTTGCTAGATATTATTTCTTAAGCAAGCAACACAAAATTGTTACACAGATAAATACTGATGATTTCTGGAAGCTAACCTAAACTCTTAGCATAGAAAAAATATTACACCATCGGAAAAAAAGTTTGCTGTCTATTATTGTTATTGGCTTGCTAGTTTTGATAAACAATGGGCTACAAAAACTGGACAGAAAAACGTTCAATCGTCAATATGATATCCTCATCACTACAAGTCCTGTAGCATCTTTTCTATTTGGTCTTAATTCTGTAAAAATTGAAGAATGCAATTAAGTGCAACGCTGCAGAGGAGAGCAATTCAATATTTGCCTAATGATACATTCAATACATTCGTTTCAGCTGTTTTCTGAATAGGTTTGCTTTCTTAAAATGTGGTCTGTTTGCCTATGTTGATTTTGTTTTTGTTTTTACAGCATTTCCTGGCTTTATGCAGCGTATCTTGGGAAATATTTTGCACAATGAATTGCCACAACAGATAGATGTGCGCTTATGTGGCATTGTTGTCATAGATTTATATCTATCATGTATTTTCTAGTTTGCAATATTCAGCACATTAATGTGCAATCGATGCTGACGTCAGCACACAGATAGTTGTGATGTATGGCATCCTGACATAAACACACAAATCATGTTGCCCCATCTGGGCTTGAAAATTTAACAGAGCTCCAGATCTTCCTCGAGCCCCATACAAATCTACCTCCTGCTTCTGGCATAAACTTGGCAGCTCTGGAGATGTGCCAGGACATGGTTAGGA